TTAGTATAGTTTCTACACATAACTTATTGAGCGATAGAAAAGTTAATTATAAAGAAATGTAAAAAGCCTGTTAAAGTTTACAGCAACAGTTTATAAAAAAGTGTAAGTTTAACCTTTATGCGTGTGTTAAATTAAACCTTTCCCTTAGGGAAATACATTCAAAAACGTTACTCGAACTACTATAACTTATTTCAATTTTATAGTGCATAAGGCTGGTGCAACCCATCAGTTAATAAAAGAGCTGTGTCAACATATTTTTAATAACTAAGCGATACGATGCGAGATCAAATGCAGTTCAGTTTTTTTTTTAATGCCGGAAGATTGCTTCTAACATCCCAGATGTTAAACAAGGTTAAAAAAAAGAACGTTCTTTTTTATGTTCTGGCAGTTCACCTGATGTTAAGTGAAAACCGCAGCCCATTGATATTTGCAACATCCGTGGAGTTGCCGATACGTCATCTTTTAATAAAGAGGAGGAAAACGGGGAGCTGCCGCACTAACCAGACGAAACGCATAAGTATAACACTTCCCCTTAACACCGATCTTCTGTGACGTCGTGATACTTACCCGGACGTACCTGCCCATTCATGCAACAAAGAAGTCTGTTGCGTGCCCCTACCAAATTTGTATCTCTGTGATCTTCCTTATTGAAATTAATAACGCAAAAAATCCTATCAATTAGGGGTACGGGTTGAACTTTGACCGTTTCTCGCTCGACCTTTTTCATTTTTCATTGTGGGTACAAGTACAGCTGGTGCTCTGCGTACAGTGAAGCAAAACCGTCAGCGTCTTCATCATGTCTTATTCTTATTCCTTTCCGACTGTTAGTGATAATTATAAACTAATAATTCAAACAGCGAAAAGCTTCGCCGAAAAACCGAAAATCACACCGAAAGCGAAACCTGTGCAGATAGAGGTATACTTCTACAGGATGTTATTTTTAGATCAAGATCAAGGACTGGACTGTTATCGCCGAGCCATATGTGTAATTCTAAGAATTTTACGATTTAAGGAAGCGATAAGAGCGTCTCTTAAAGATAGTTCATATGGTTGTAAAATTATTTGGACCATAATTATTTTAGTTATAATATGTACTATGATATTTTTATTTGAGCACCAAATAATAGCACATTTCGTTGAATAGCGGAGAGTTCGTTTTCGTATTATATTGTTAAATCATATTTCTCTTACACTGGGATATTATCAGATCATTTTCCTACCCTCATTCCGCTTAAGCTGGGTCGGAACAACGTGTGAATTACGATGTAATTGATATTGGCTGAGTATTTACGATCGCCCGCTGCTTGACATCAACCCTCCTTAGGAAAGGAGCACCCAGGTCCAGAAATCTATGGTTCATACAAATCCTTGTCATGTGTGTCAAGTCACCGGGTCATCGGTTGGTTATCTAGACATTGCGAAAAACATTCAGCTCCTGTTCAAAATACACCCGTCCTGTTGACTAATAAACGGCTCTGTACGCCATGTATCAAATTGTTTCATCCTTATTTACACATCACCTTCCTTTGGTTGGTAATTGTGTTTATTATGGCTACTGTGCGATCAGCTTACGCAATCAGTGAACTCAAATAAACAGGGGTGCATTATTTTTGCTCCAAAATGACATAACGAAAAACTATACCGTGATGGCGTGGGGCTTTTAAACCATACCTCGAGGCTGTTTTAGGAATTTAGACTTAGTTAAACTAACAAATAAGTTCATTTTTGTTTGACGGTGAGCGATAACTGCCGGTGAGAGTTGTGGTGCTATTTATTAAAAATCACTTGTATGAACGTGCGGCCTCCATGTTTTATTAGCGTTCACTGGACGTAATACAGTTATAAATTATGCTACTTAGGTAAGGGTTAAAGGGGCTCGGAGGATAATAGTATATCTATTGGAATTACATTATTTGTTCATTTATTTTATTAATAAAAACAGCCGTAACTCAACCCTTACATATCATTTTGATATCTTTATACCATTTGATGTTAAACGAATATTCGTATTTGATAATGAAGACCTTCCCCAACTATACTTTTCAATTTGATGGTGGCAAAAGTCGATCCAACTCCACCTGCGGTGACCGTCGCTGTTGCTTTAGAATTCAGATGATCTCTCGCTATTATACCCTGAAGAACATGAAAAATAAACCTTTTATTAAGTGTGATTTCTTGAATACAGATTTGCGAATAACGTAATATTCCAATTTACTGATAGTAATTGTATGATCTATACAGTAAAATGCCTTGGGAAGATCGCAGAACATAATGAATGGAACGTTTCCCAAGATTGCAGTAAATAATTCTACTCCAACGTCAGTTGTAGATCTACCGTTCATAAATTCAAACTGGCGCTAGATTAAAATATCATAGTAATCAAAATGAACTCTCATTTGAACCAGCATTATTTTCTCAAATACTTTACTGAAAGCTGGCAATATATATTAATAAGATATTTATTGTGTACCAGCAAATATCACGAACGTAAACTTAAAAAATTATATTGTAAATACAATAGTTCAATCAGTGAAGTTATTCTGAAATCCATATTTGTACCGCTGATTATTTTTTTTTAGCAATTTAGTTAGAAAAAGCTACCTTTATGATCTTCGGACTGTTTACGTTTCCATAATACACTTCATACGTCCGTATCTCCATTGGAATAGCTGGAAGTTTCACGGTTTCCTGATAGATCAACTGGCCGTCACTACCCAAATTCAAATGATCAGCGTTCACTAAAGCCCCCAAAATAATTGAGAAAATAATAACTACGGCCGAATTTTGAGCCATGTTACACTATCACGTTCAACGGGAATAATTTAGAATTTTTGCAATGGATACAGATTCTACGGAAAAAAATATTCGTTTAACACGAAGTTTTTCACATGTGTTAAATACTAAAAATGTTAACATTTAAGATGAAATGTATCTTTAAAATGTTGAATCAGACCATATAATGGTCTGAATCAACATTTTTAAGACAACCATATCATTACATTGTTATCACTGTCGATAAATGGATATGAGACACAATACATTGAATTTTTGACACATGGATGATTAGATTAACCATTCGTAAAAGTCAATATCAAAAAAAAAAAAATAACATTTTAGGATTAACTTTTATTTTTAGTGATAATCTTTGATAGATTTTTTCTTTATTTAATTTGTGAATGCTTGTTGACAAACGATCAAAAACTTTCGGCGCTATAGGATTCGAACCAGCATCTTCTGCTTTTACGCCCATAAGGTTTACCAACTAAGCTAAGCGACCGATGACCTCATAGCGCGAAAGTCTCGACATTTCCACATCTATTTACGTTCATTCTATTTTAGAATTCTTTCTATTTTTTCTTTCAAATTTATTTGTTCTGTACATTAACGTTCTTTTTTTATTTTCATCATTATTTAATTTCATTTAAAACTTTCTGTACCAAAAACTCTTTGTAGAAAGGTGGTTTTTTCTACTTATTCTATTTTTTTATATTTTTCTACTTAACGGATGATCCAGAGAAGTTAAGATAGGTGCATAAACAAAATAATAAAAAATAAGAGAAATGAATGAAATTTTCTACGGTGGTAGGACCATGCAACAGTGTTCGCTGTTGCACGAATGGGCAAGTCCGTCCGGATCAGTACCACGACCCCACAGAAGACCGGCGTAAAGTATAAGTGTTGTATTTCTGCGTTTCGTCTGGTGAGTGAGGTAGCCGGAGCCCATAGATTTTAAGAGGTGGCAACGCATCTGCAACCCTACGGGTGTTGCAGCTGTTCATGGGCGGCGGTTATCACTTAACATCAAGTGAACCGCCAGCTCGTTTGCCACTTCCTCACATAAAAAAAAATGAATAGACATAATTTAGAGGCTACTTATAATAAATATCATAATCTACTACGCGGGTAATTGTATACAAAAAACACTAACATTTAATAAATTTGGTTGGGCCACGCAGAAATTTTCTCGGTGGCAGGAACGGGTAGGTCCGTACGGGGAAGTAACAAGACTTCATAGAAGACCATCGTGCAGAAGTTTTATACTCCATCTTCTCTTTTTACGTTCCTCTGCTATTAAAACTTGATTGGAGGACCCGAATAGAAATTTCTTTTCATCAAAACTATTAACACCCACAAAATTGTGCAATGGTTACAAAAGTATAATGGCAAAACTATTATCTATTGATAATAAAATACTATTATTATTTAAATGATTTTTGTAACAGTTCAAATCTCAGGATTTTTCTATTGAAGTCGTGATGATTGTTGAATGAAAACTCGGATTGTTGTCGCAACACTGTACACCGGATATGACGTTATGCACTCGAGCGAAAGGACACAAATGGTCGCATGGAGCAGCAGTAACTTGCTTTTCGGCTGCGTTCCCGGACGGTGATATTACCACTAGTGCGGCTTGTCGTTATAATAGTTCTTTATATTCAAGTTCAGAAATAGTTAAAATATTAGAATTAAATTAAAATTGAGTCTTATAGGATATTGAAGCTTATCTAGAACAAATTCAAGTTAACACCCCAAGAATATCTAACTAGATTACATAAAAAGAAGTTAAATAACAAAGATATGATCATTATTATCCATAAAATATTCAGACGTAAAATACGAGCGCGAAAAATTCTCTGACGCCCTCTGAAGGCTATAAAATATATAGAGAAGTAAACAGTCCACACTACAAAGAGATACATTCGTACCGAGATGAATACAGTGAACCACGCAGTACGGTCATTACTTTTGTTTTACGATGTGATAACCTGGCAGCACTTCATAACAAAACTTTTAGTGATGCTGTACATCGTTTTAATAATGAATCCTGAACGAAACTTCACGATGTGTTCCGACAAACTTTCGCAACGAAACATAACCCGTTCCATAAATATTCATTTGGACACTTTTTGAAAGACCATAATTCTACTCATTGTTTCAAAAAAGGTACGCAATAGACACCTAGATAAAATGAACTTCGGAAACCTTTGCAAACAGTAGCAATGAAATTGATGTGCCTTAATCTTGAGGGTATAAGTATTTTTTTTGCATGGCAATAAAGGCAGTCTTGCTAGACACGTCATCGAGTGCATTTCGTTTATTACACCTTGTAATAGTACAGAATTATAGGGTTCGAACCCATGTATGTATATTGTAAGGCGTAAAATTAAAGGCCTTTTATTTTCCGTTGGAAAAATAGTGCAGCGATAAGGTAAAAGTTAAGCATGTAGGCTTTTAATAGACACATGTTTTGTCCTACTGATTAATCATCAACGGACACGTTTGTACATATTACAGTGACAGTTTTCTACTTGAGGGCAGATTTGAACACCCGACATAGATTATCAATGAAACTCACTAGTCTGATCAGAGATTATGCATTTTTCGAGATCATACATAATTCTTCTGTACGTCTGTGTCACTGAACTCCTCCTAAACGGCTGGACCGATTTTAATGAAATTTTATGTCTCTTCAGGTCGATTCGAGAAACGTTTAGATTCACATTTCTTTAAGTTATCCTATTTAATTTGCGTGTACAGGACAACTTCTGCCCAGTCCACTAGTATAAATCTAAATGTGAAAATTGGTTTGTAATCGTACATCGGATACAATTTCAATAAAGGACTTGATGTGTAGAAAATTTAACAGCAGATAGACCCCGTCTTGTGCAATATCAAAACTTTTATTTCTTTTTTTTATGCATACGGATATAAAGTAATCATGTTTATACGTTCTTAAGTTACTGATAATTATTTATTTACGTAAAATCGGTTAAGATTGTGCGTTGATAGGTCAATCAGTCGTTAGGGCAGTTTATTTTTCTTCTACGACATTTCTGTCCATCGTTTTCGTGGCCTACCTCTTTCGAGACAGTTGTATATTTTATAAGATCTCGATAATTAATATTCAGAGTTATGCGACATGCCAACCTCGGTATAAAAAGGTATGAAAGGAGGCGACGGAGCATTGCGGGCGCCCAAGTAGGCACCGGATGAATTATTGAGTTATCATATAAATAAGGATTTAAGGGGGCATCAAAATAAATTCCCGCGAGACACCGGCAAAGCTCACAGTGTTGTTTTACGTGCAATTTGTTTGTTTTTATTGCGTTTCCAGGCCGGGGCTAGGGCGGCATTAATAACGTAGCAACCGGCGGCGGCACCGTGTGATTCGATATATTTTAACGCTTGTTATTTTATTTTCGATTCTAGTGCGTGAAGATCGTTTTGCTTGGGTTGATTGTTACTACATAGTATAAAACATGTACGCTTAGATCTTTAAAACTGCGCAACGGCTCTTGATGCGGTTTTTTTACTAGTTAGATTTATTGACAAGGAAGGTTTATATGTATAATACAATGCACCCGTGCGAACCCGGGACGTGCGGCTAGTATTTCTGTATATAAATGGTAATTTTCCACTTGAGTAATAAAACCATTACACGAGTAATTTAAGAATACTAAGTTTATGTATTTCAAGTTTATTATGACTGACCCAAGCGAACTATTGTATTTGTCTGCTCTTCGGGGAAAAAGAAGAATATCTTAATTTTGTACGAGAACATGAAAAGACGTACTAGATAATCAGCAATCGGGTAACAAGTTACGAAATAACGATGTAAACATTGACGAATACGTACATTTAAATACTTAAAAAATACTGATTTGAATGCCTTCTAATACTTGTGATAAAATTAAATTTATTATTGGATTTCAATCTTAGTAAAAGAAGCTCGTACTATAGTTTAAAACTCCATAAATTCTATTAATTTAAATTTAAATTCATTACCGGCAACACCTTCCTAAGCCATCGTAACGGAACAAAATCATCTTCACTTCGGCCTTTTAGTACGACATTTTATTATAACGTACATGGGAAGGATGTAAAGAAGAAGGGATAATAACAAAAACATGGGGTAGTCGTACAAACTTTGGCTCTTTTCAGTAGCGGCAAGTGAAGTTACGCATAATTAAATAGTGATTAGGACGCAAGAGGCGAGTTCAAACAGAGGGTCTGTATCACGTTTATTTTTTTACTCCATCTTACTTACGATACTTGGCAATACATTATTTAATCCATATTATGTCAATTAACATATATGGAGCATTATGGTGAAGTTAGGACAGTTCATTCAACGTAACAAAAATATGTATTATAGTGGTATTGTTATATAATGCTAGGCATTTTCTGTGGCGTTTATATTGTTTAAAAATATCTTCCCGCTTTAATGTGTAAGAATATGTTGCATAAAATGTGATGTGTCAATTTTGATTTTAACTTCTTTTTCTTTATTGGACCAAATAGATGGCAAACGTGCTTCGGGCAGGGTGCAAGATGGTCTGATGCTGTTAAGGGGCAGTGGGCGGTGGCACGTATCGGGCTCCATGAATCGCATGATCGCACTGGTTTGCGATATGTTGTACGTGGTCACGATCCTCAGCATTGAGGGAACGAGGAATAAGAAAAAGAAGAACACCTCCATACATATATAGTACATACTGTGGTAGAGCCTCGTAACAGTCTTTGCTGTTGCACGAATGGGCACGTCCGTCCCGGGAAGTACAACGAACTCACAGAAAACCAGCGTGAAGGGAAAGAGTTGTACTTCTGCGTTTCGTCTGGTGTGTGAGGTAACCAGGGCTCACACATTAAAAGGTGGGAACGCAACTGCAACCAACGCGTGTTGCAAATGCCCATGGGCAGCGGCTATCTCATAACACCAGGTAAACCAGCTGGCTTGCCATCTTCATACATAAAAAAAAAGTTAATGAAATAAAAAAAATTATGAAAATGTACCGCTCCTTTTAATCTCCGTGTAGCGAAGGGAACTTTACAAGATGAAAATTACGAACATGAGTTGACGGTTTCACATTAACCCAAAAATGAGAGCTAATTGGCAAACCCGCACGTAAAACTCCAATATGAGTATTCACGCCACGGAAAAAATCTACGTGAAAATCATTTAACAACAAAAATATTTTTTTAGGGCAAAAATCATATCACGGTAATATGTGAAAATACAAACGAGTCAACTAGTACATAATATTATAAAACACATTTTGTCATGTATTTTACACATTTAAGCCATTATTTATTGTATCATACTTACAAAATACATCAAAGTATTTGAAAGAAAGAAAGAAAGAAAATTATTTTATTTACCAAAAAAGGACGCACGTGTCAAAAAGAAAATAACAAATAATAAAAGAAATACTACAATGAAATGAAACAAAAAAATATTCAAATATAAAACTATAGTGAAATAAAAACAAAAGAAAGATAAAATACATTTTAAATGTTTATTTAAATTCCGCAATCGCCATTCCACGTCTTCAGTAAAAGAGGATAGGAATTGCAACGGATAAAACGGCCTTATTCCCGTGAGTATCGGCTAAACATCGTAATAGCTTCGTACTAGAGGGCCAATGAAGAGCTTTACGGTTAACCGAGGGCCCTCCAGTGTAGGGCACTCGAGTGGAGGGTGACTTCGGCTCAATAATAGCAATAGGCCGAAATAATCGGGCAAAATCTAAACGGATAGAACTCAAAGCTACATTTGCGGATGATGTTATTTCTGTTCCTGTTTGTTCAGCCCGAATTTTCGGTAATGGTTTCTCTATAATAACTGATAAAAACCAAGTCTAAAATATTTTTGGAAGTTTCTGACATACACGATAATTTAATTTTTTCGATGTAGTCACAAGCATAGACGTGGTCTTTATATGGCTAATGTTGACGTAATCTTGTGTTCTGTTTTTAATGTACAAATAATAAATAATGCAAATTTTTCCTTATTAACTAAAAAACTATGGGTACTAATTAGACGTAAGGCTAGTTCTCATGATTATTTTGGTGTGCAAGATTATTTGAACTAATATAAAGAATCATCGCTAGTTCATTCACTTTGAAGCATTCCCGATGTTAATAAGATATCAAAGTAAATATAAAATCTGAAAAAAAAATTTTGCATCATCAATACTTGGTACAAAAAAAAGTCATTGTCTGACTGTCCCTGTGTATGCTTAGATCTTTAAAACTACGCAACGGATCTTGATGCGTTTTTTTTTTTTATTGGAGTGATTCAAGAGGAAGGGTCTTATGTATAATAAATTGCACTCATGCGAAGCCGGGGCGGGTCGCTAGTAATACAATAATATAATTTTCTAACATAGTCTGTCTACTCGGGAAACAGATGCCTAGGGCTGATAAATAACGGGACTCTCAAAAGCCACTCCTCGAGTCTTGCAATGTCCAGTAGTCGGTAATAAAGATAAGCCCGGAGGCTTATTAAAACAACGGACGCCAGGTAAACAAGTAAATACCCGATAACTATCTTGTTTCAGACAAAAGAAGTCAGTAACAAAAGCAGGCCGTATCGTTGTTTTTTCATCCTGCAAAGAGCGCACGCCCCCGGATGCGTTTTAAGTCACAAATGCCTAGCGAGTTAGGGTGGAAATGTTTATATAAATAATAATTTTTCCTAGAAAAATAACGCGTTATACGATAATGCAAGAGATTTTATGATTTTTTGTGATTCTTTGAAACCATCTATGATACGATTGGAACTGAGAAATTGTTATAATTTATATATGTATTTCTTATATACTTAATAATAATCACATGGATAAAACAGTTTATATAAAGAGGCAGACGATTAACTAGAGAAAAATTTCCTTTATTTCTTATAACACAATCCACAATATTTCTTAATAATAGACTATACTAGATTATAATACCTCATTCATTTCGTACCTCATACCTCAAGCCTCATTAGATTTTGCAGAAAAAAAAAATTTTTTTGATTCAATCCTAGTTATCAATCGCTGTTTGACTTGTCTTATTACAGTTTTTGCGGCAAAGACGTTTTGGTTCCTAGCTTTAAAGTCCCATTAAAAGTTAGTAAGTTTAGTCAAGAGATAATTATTATAGAGATAATTTTTGTCAAGAGATAAGAGGTTATCAACGCATCTGCAAACCCTCGGGTGTAGCGGATGTCCATGGGCGGTGGTATTCACTTAACATCAGGTGAACCTCCTGCCCGCTTGGCAACTGTTCACATAAAAAAATACATGTATTGATAATTGTGAGAGGCGGAAAAGGATAGGCGCAAACAAAAGCAATTGTAGTACACATTTGTTCTATAATATCATTTAAAAACATTTTTCAAAGTAAGAAAACAAATGTTACATACCACACAATAAAGGAAGTATAACATATTCATTGAATGCATTAAAATGGTATACTACCATATTTCAATTAATATTAATTAAAATTAAATCATAATTTATGTGTTTATCAGTATAACTGAATGGGGAAAAGCACTTTTATAGACTACTAATGTGTTATAACCAATGAAACAAATAAATTAAAAAAAAACTTTGGCGTTTGAACAGGCTCTTGGATAAATGTATATTGCAAAAGTCTTGGTTTTACAAAAAAAAAATCTTTTCTCAACAATGTTAGATAATTTTATAAAGTGACAAAATTATTAGATTGTTTGCAGTACTCTTCCTATAAACGGAATCTCTGCCTTTGTGCCGTTGCCTCGTCAACTGCTCTATGCAATTCTAGCAAGGCCCACAGTTCGTACAGCTCTCAACTCCACAATGGGTGGCGCTGTCAGAGACAGTCGCTGCTCTTTACAACTTAAAACAATAATACCAGTACTTACGTACTCCGTTAGCCGAATTGAGTTTACGTAAACCCCTAAACGTGTTGCCACAGTGCTTACTTTATATTTCATACCATAGCCCCCATAGTGTTGTCAAAACCATTTTCAGGTAATGTTTTTAATTATTAGACATTGTTAATTAAAGTTAAAATAACAGATTTTGCCACACAGGCATTACCGGTTGGTGCTAGACATTCCTATGTCATGTTTTGTACCATTATGTCGTTTGCCCTTACTGTAGGATAATATTATCCTGTGTTGTTAGGACGTAAAGGACGTTTTACTAACATGAATTTTACGTGGACAAACACCCAGATCCGAAAAAATTATCTGTGGGTGACACAAATAGTTTCCCCATGTGGGAATCGAACTGATGACCCCTGAAGCTGAAGCCAATACTTTGGCAACTGCGTTTCCGAGTAATCCATTATAATATTGGCTATAGTTTAACTTATTGAATAATAATAACTGATTATTAAAACTTGTAGAAAAAGTAAGAAAATATTGTCGCCGCTGTGGGAATCGATTCCACGTCTTCGGCATTCGCGGGCTTTAATGTTTAATCTTAAGTGCAGAGATTAGCACTATAAAAAACTTTAAAAAACTGATTAGTCATGTTGTTGCGCTAAGACTAATCGTGGACTGTGTCGCTTAGATGATGTTTTGCTTTGAATGCGGATGAAATGTGGGTTAGGTCGTTTGCAGTGGGAGAAGCCTGTACTCGCCGCTTGTTTTTTTATCGTGTACGAGTCACAGTGCTGCTCAGATATTTTTCGTGTTTTAAAATTAATTATATTCACAGATAATATTAATTTATCGATTGAAAACGGCCGACTTCAGGACATGTTGGCCACCCATCGACATTTACAACGCCCATAAATTTACAAACGCGTTGCAACCTTTTAAAAAGAGGGCCCCGGCTTTCTCACTCAACAGACGAAACGCAACTCTGCGTTTCGTCTGACTAGAACTTACCCGTGAGGATCTGCCCATTCCTGCAGCAGCGAGGCTGTTGCGTGGCCCTACCACAGTTCTTGTTAAATTGATCAAGCTTGATAAAATGTGAAGTATTATGAAGGGAGCTCGTTCCACTGTTGCTGATAAAGATATATTAAAATGTTTAACAGCTTTGCTAGTCAATTTCGATTTCAATATGAGCACAAAGCGAGCATTCAATTTACTAAAGAGCACGCGCGACGCCACGTCGCGACGGGATAATTTAATATTCGTATTTCACTTAAATCACATCAGTAAATGCTCTTCGCAATCCGCGACTCACAACTAAAAGGTAATTAAGGTGGGAATTCAATAGGCGTACCACTTTAAATCATTCATCGTTGGCTTCTTTGTGATCTTCGCGAAATGCGCGCCTAATTAAGTTAGAACACAAATCTTCTTTTTACCTTGGGGGAAAATGTTGCTCGTAATTTTTTTTTCTGCTCCAATTTCTTTTGCGAGTCTCGTGTTATTTTTATTTTAAAAAAGAGAGAGAAAAAAAAAGCAACAACGATAAGATCGGTATTTCATGTCCATTTTCGTGTTTTTGTGATAATTCTAATGGGATGTACTTTCTTATTCGATTCCTTTTAAATGGCCGATATTTTTTCCTTACCGAAAACAATAACGACTTCTCTTAAAAACCTGTTTACTTTTTTACTGTTTACAGTACTCTATTAATATTTCTGGGGAACAATTTTTTTTTATTCCTCTTCTTTATTTCTTCTGGTTATTTAAGGATTATAGTTTTTTTTTAATGTAGTAAGTTGTCTAAAGCGAGATGGCGGCTCACCCGATGTTAATTGATAACCGCCGCCCACG